AAGTTTACTTTAGTAACTTTTTCTGTTTCAACAAGATTGATATATTAAATGGCACAGAAAAAAAAAGAAATGAACCACAATCATCAAAAAAGAATCTAAAAGATTACCGGACTCGAAATGGACTCGGTCCTTAATGTTAGGGACTCGGACACGGAATAAATTTTTGAGGACTCGGACTCGGTCACTCCTGGACTCGCCTATGCCTGGTATATTCAAAGTTAAAGTGACTTATTTTTTTGAAGCATCGAGGTAAATTTCTGCGACGCAGTTATTAGATCATCTAGACTTGCGGAATGTCTCATTTTGTAGAGTAAGCAAGTTGTTTTTTTAATGTAAAATATTTAATGTGTCTTCTCCAGAAGACACATCAAAGCGGCTTTAAAAGAGTCGCTATTATACGACTAAATGGGATCCGACTTTTGTGTCTTTAATGCGACCAGAGAAAAGATGCTATAAAGTGACTACCAGGTAAAGTCACATGATGTGTCGTCAAAGGAGACACTAAAATGCGGCTTTTTGGGATCCGACTTACGTGTCTTCTTAGAAGTCGCATTTTCTTTTTTAGAGTGTATGTTTGCACGAAACGTCAAATTAAACAATGAAACTTTTAAGCGAATTACTAAAGATGCATGAATAGTTATATAACTAGTGACTATTTATTATGTAGATCTATGACATTCCATGATGCTCATCTTTTATCACAATTACCTTTGTTTCAACAAATACATAAACAGTTTTCTGCAAAATGCGACGTCACAGGAATCGGTGATTCTAAATAAGAATAACTGTGTTATAACAGATACCAGTTACAGAACTGGTACATACCTATCTGTTACCAGCAGAAAATTTGGACTATCAGCGTATAGTGGTGATAAACACTTATAAGCAAGAGTGATCAGGTATAGAGGTAGAGGAAAATCTATCGATAATTCTGCACTTCTTTGATGCATAATGATTGTAAACGTATCTGAGCAGTACTCACAGATGAATAACATAAAATCTTGTTATAAAATCAACTAAATCAATCAGATTACTCATTACTTTTGGCTTTCAAACATATCTCTCTTGTTCTTGGTGATAATGAAATTAAGCTTTCCATCATTGACATATCAAGAAAAAGTGGTTGAATGTTTACTGTAGAAATTAGTATTTCTCAATGGCCAAAAACTCAGAGAATAGGTAAAAATAGGCTAAAAACTACTTGACCCCATGGTTTTGGATTTCTGTTACAGGTGCTTAGAATTATTAATCAGTGTGTTAAGTTCTAAAACATCTTCTGATGGCGGGTCTTTTTAGTGTAGGACAAAAAAAACAATATATATCACCTCACCGCGTTACAACAGAAAGACAACGTTTACGAAATATTGCCGCAATTTTGGAAATACCTCAAAATGATTTATACACATATGCGTTATATTCGATTGATGATGAAACACTGACAAAGCTCAAGAAAGAGAAGGAGCTTACGTTAAAGCAGCTTCATGAAACACCTCTTGTGCTAGATGATTCACAAACACCCAATGAATATGTATTAAACAGTAATGATGCTCAAAATGTCAGTATAAAGACTGATGTTACTGAATCAACACTACAACCAATAAAAATAGAAAATGAATCCGATACTGAAACAACACCATCGAGATCCATTTTAAAGTTTCCAGAACGTGCTTCTGCATTACCTCTACGACCGCTTTCAACCATAAAAAGTGTTTCACACGCATCAAGAAAATTTTCTAGACAAAGTTCTCTCGTTCGAAGAAATCTTAGTGGTCAAATAATACCAACAGACAATAAAATAAAACCGCGTTCTTCAATTATCGTTCCAAACACAACAATCGATACAATACGCACCAAGACGAAAACGAAAACAGATGAAATCATTCAAGGAGAATATGAAGAAGAGGGATTCGAAGAAAGTGAATATGAAGAGTTTGCAGGTAAGAAAAATTATGGAATTGTATTCTTGTTTCTGCTGTGTGTTGGTCTTTTAGAGGAAGAAGAAAATGAAACAGATGATAAAAAGGTAAATAAAACGGATAAACATAGCATTAATCAATAGAAACCAATGATAGTTGTCAAAAATCATTTTAGAGAATTGATCTTGTGTCAGCTGTACACGTTGTTCAAAGGTAGGTACATATTAAACTTAGCATTATGACAAGAGGCTCGTTCGTTTTCTTTCTATTAGTTTTCTAGTCACTTCGGGAATAGCAGCTTGGTGGAAACACTTGGTGAGTAAAACAGAAAACAAAACTCTTTTATTATTGTTTCTATTTTATTCAATTTATTTATAAGACTCCACGAAAAAAATGTTGGTTTAGCATTTTATTCACAGTTTTTGCTCTTCTGCTACTTAGTGTTTTGGCTTTTATTATTTATTGGAGAGGACCAGGAAAATTACTAGGTAAATACAGAAATAACATTGTATTCTCACATGCAAAATCTACAAAACACAATCTCTTTTTTTTAAGAAGATTTACAGGATGCGTCAAATTACTTAAATCCAACGAGTGCTGAAGGTGGTTTAGGAAATGAAGCCATTGAGACCTTGCCATCGCTAAGAATTCTAACAAATGGTAAATCTCTATTTGAAAAAATTCTGATACAAAAGGTCAAACCTCTATCTTTCGACTAAATGATATGATAACTGTAGAGGAATTATCATTTAAAAGAAAATTCAAACTGATTACTCTTCTGACATAAATCTTCTTCTCTAAAAAAATCTTTTTCTACATTAAATATTCGTATAATTTAGATGATTGTGATACATTTTCATGTGGTGAGCATGGACACTGTATAAATACGACATTATTTAAATGTCAGTGTCAAATACCGTATATAGGTGCTGTATGTTCGGTATGTATTATATGACAGACAATTAACCGACTCACATCTCATCTATATTCGTAAACAAAGTAGAAATCATTACTAATTTTTTAATTTAAATATGTGTAGACAATACTCTTATCATTATATTTTATTCTAGAACGTATTGACAAATGATGATTATAAAATAATCTCCTGTTCGTTCTCTACTGAATGGAAAACTCTTCTTATATCATTTAACGATGGTAATAATTCAACATCATTTCTTCGCACAAATATGGATACTAGTCTCGTTGATATTTATCCATTATCAACAAGCACTTTCAACTCGTCTAATGTTATGTTTACTGCCACTGATAATGATAACAATAATTTATTTATTCTCATTTATAAAACATTAAAAATGTGCATATATTCTTTAAAAACATTTTCATTGATTATATGTCTCGATATATCACCTTATGTTGACTATGTCGATTCTGTTTTACTCTCATTCGAAGAAATATATATTGTTGCCACTCAGAATAAAACTAAAAAATGTCAAAAACAAATTCTTGTATTTAGTACAAATGCTAATTTTCTACGAACAATATTAAAAAATGATTGTAACAACGTATTTGCTTATCGCTTACTTATTGATTGGTACGAGTTTTTACATATAACAAATGTCAAAGAACGACAAATACAATTTTATACACGATTTGGAGATCGATTAGATAATTTCATTTATAATAATATGCCAAATGATTTAATTGAAATGATACCAACAACAAATTTAACGATTTA